TCAGAACTCTGACACTCAGTCTGGTGTCACCCTTCAGCCATGAGCCTGTGTATAGATTAGCAGCAAGAATTCAAGCAATATCATGGTTAAACTTACTTTGTTTGGGAAAATACGATATAACTCCATAAACTGACAAAATCCAGTGTCACCAGAAACAGTTCAGCCCAATATAAAAAACACGTTGCTGTTACTCAGGTGGCAACTAAATATAAGCCGGTGACATGTGCTGTGCCAGTCTGCTGTGTACCCTGGGTCTGTGTGTGACTGGGCATGTTCAAACCTCTGGTGCCCAGAACCACTGGTTTTGTGCGCTGTGCCTGGTTATCACCGGTAAATACACCATGTGCCTGCTTCATGTGCCCTGGCAGCTGCACAATTCATGTTAAGAGAGGTACAAGTTAATCTCAGGTTGTGAAAAGCTAAAGGAACTCTTCAGAAGCAGATGAAATTTAAGATCCTTTCCTCCCCCATCTTGGAAGCCTCAGTTTCTGATATCAGTACTTTCATTTATTGCCTTTCTTTGTGGCATTGGAATGGAAGAGACCTCTTGAGACACAGAATTTAGCTATTATAGGAAGGCATCTTATAGTATTTCATTCATAAACATACTGAGTCCCATCACAAAAAATGTTAAAAACTGCTGTTAGAAGGCTGTTTCAGAATCTGACAGTTAAATTAACTAGAGTCTTAGACTTTCTAAACATCATCCTGAAGTTTGTCCGTAGCCAACCCCTATAGAGTACATCACCATATAGACTTTTCAGACAGTGAATTATGCCAAGGAGTTAGTGATTTACACTGTATGGGAACTGCAGTAAAGGTGTCGAGATCATGTGTGATATGCTGACAACTGTGAGATATGTTTTCAAAAGTGAAAGCCTAGTCTACTAAACTCATTGCTCTCTCTTTAAAATGTCTTCACCTACTTAGTTCAGAAAACCTCAAGAGTTAATACAAATTCTTGGACTTGCAGCTTCAACTGTACAATGCTATCCATAAGTTAAATAAGCCCTGAAGGACTGTAGAAATAAAGTGCATTTTTGACCGCACATTTTAAAACACCAATGCTAAAATTAAATTCTACTGTCTGTAGAAGAAAAGGAGCTCAGAGGACGAAGAACTTCTGTGTAGTTGAAAGACAGACCGCTATATAGAACCATAGCTAAGAAGGAAAAATAAGAGCTTTGGAGTATTAAAACTGTTTACAAGAGTGACTATTGAAGAGCTTCCTCAGTTTTATGGAACTGATTTAGCTGCTTCTGTTCAAGTTCTGTATCCTTCTAGCAAAACAGACAATTCAGTTCAACTCAATACTTCAGAATTTTCAATGCTATCAAATGACTAGTATGAACACCAGTAAAGATTAATAAGGAGTGCAGTCCAAAGGACTCCAGAGAAGATATATCCATTTTAGCAGAATGGATTCCATTTTCTTCCCAGTTACACTGTCTGGAAAGGGGCAGTTTGGTTCCAGTTTTACTAGAACCAAAGACTTCCAACAAATTAGGTATAATTGACACAAGGTAGGAAGTATCCTTTCTCAATAGATTAGTTCATGATGTTCATGATGTATTTTCTCATCACTTCCTACAACGTATCCATTGGCCCTGGTGAAAACCTCAGGAAGCAAATTGTGATTTCCTCTAGCTATCAAGTATATTTGACTCCAATCTCTCACCCCCAGAACCTGGTAAAAGAGTACTGGGGACATACTTGCATAGCCCAGCAAGTTCAAGCGTTTTGTATTTCACAGGCTAGGATACTGAAAGCAAGATGACTGCCAATCATGCAAAAGCATTTGAACCTCTTAATCCAGACTGTTTCTACCCGAAAGAGAGCTTTGAATGGGTCACACCTTTCTATGCCAGTCTGGTACATTTAAAAATGAATTGGGTACTTTACAATATACTGTCAAAATAATTCCTTTTTAAACACCTGTATACTTCATGTTCTAACATCCCTGGCCACATCTGCAAAACTGAGTGAACTCAGATGTCACTGTACAATAGCGCGCACTTAACTCCGAATGCATTCCTACATCAAATACTTGGGCATAAGAAATACCCATTCTCCCTGCCCTTCAGTATGAATTGATTTGTTGAGAAGTAGGACAAATTATCATTTCCATACAACGTGCTAAAGAGCTCCCGTTCACAGAATTTTAGAGATACAACAACATTAAGCAGCATTTTCATACAGCACACTGACTTGCACGATCCACTAACATAAGGAGAGACAAAACAAATCTGCTCAAAGTGCTGTCATGGCAGCACTATAACATAAGTTTATTGTGTCCAATGAAAGATAAGGAGATCATTAAAGATAAAGCAATACTGGCCGCTGGTTGGAAAACAGTATCTAATAAAAACTTAGAAAGAACTCACAGAGTAAGAGACAATAATTACATTAGTACATTAATTAAAAATAGAAAGGTGAAAGTTATAGATTAGATAGATCAAGAGAATAAGGTACACATCCATAAGCCAGTAGGTTGTTTGGTAAATGTTTGTATGTGCAGCAGATGGGAGGAAGGATGAAGACACTTTGATTTGAAAATGTTCCTAAGTATGCACTACCCTCAAGACTGAGTCAGCTCATATAACCTTATTTGCTCGGTGGGGATTTAACTTTGAAGTCAGAGAAATCCTCTCCCTGGGAAAGCTCTCCTGTGCACTTCTGAAAGTATTTCCTCTCAGCATTCGGAAACAAGGTATTCAGCTGTACTTAGCAGAGCTATTGGGGAAAAGCAGGCAGCTAGCAGATTTGAAAAAAAAAAAAAAAAATCCCTGAAATAAGCTGTCTCATTATTTAATTGAAGTGTTATAAAACCAATTTTGCTGCTAAAGATGAAAATGATAAAATACAGGAATGGGAAGTGGAAACATTCCTGACCGTGAAGTAATGCTGATGGACACAGACAGATAGCTGTGTCTATCTCCGTATACCAGACACACAGAAGCTCTGAGAAAGGGTTAACTTTCAGAAAGTTTTTGCAGCTTTATGTTTGTGATGGTTATATACAATTGACAGAGCCACAAAATGGCAGTTGGCAGAGCCTTATGCGTTGCACTGAAAGTTTTACCCCTACCTTTGTCTGCTTCAAATCTTTTGTTTCTTTTGAATCATGAGTGTTCAATGAAACATTTCAAATTTAAAAAAAAAAAAAGCCAACAAAAAAACCCACCAAAGTAAATCAACCTTTGCTATTAGGCACTGGCACAGCAGAAAGTTCCACTGGACATGCTTCTCAGCTTGCTTATGAGTCTCCAGGGCCAGGTCTTGAGAACTTGAAGCTTTAAATATTTTAACCCACAGGAACACAAACTCTTAATTGTGCAAATAGCAGTTGATAATTTAAATGAAGACAAACGGGACATGAAAATAGGATTGCAGCAGAAACCCAGTAAAGGTTAATGAAGATGTACATTCTTCTGCTGGAGCAATTATTCTATTTACAGTATGTGATGCAATGGACAGTTACAAGAGCCTCCTGTTAGAGTGATATGGCAGAATTACTTATGAGGGATATTTCAGGTTTATCCTCACCACAGTACATTATTTAGCTTAGTTCAGATGCTTTGTTTCGTAAGGCCAAGCTGACCTCTTCAGTGATATGAATTAATGCATCTTTGTATAAGAAACAGAGTATGACAGAATATTTAAAAATAATACGCTTATAAATTTAAATAATTTAAAACAATTGAAAATATATATTGTCCAGGAAAAGTACCTGTTCTAGACTTCCTCTGAATTCCTGCATTGCAACCTTCAGGATAACAATCCAGGCATCCCGAAGTGACGATTCCCCATCTTCTTTTTTGACCTTTTTAACAAGACTAGGCTACAAAGATTTTTTTAAAAATCCTCTATCATTACCATCTGCTGACATTCTTATTCTGAGCCCTTACCTTTCTAGCCAAAAACTGGCAGAACACCTATGGCTTTATGGGTGTCTTCTTCTCCAAAAGGCAAAGACAATAGGAAAAAGGACTGAAGTGCAGAAGTGAATTGCATACTGTACCCTGGGGGGTATAAAGGCTGCCCTCTGGTTAGTTCCCACCATGGTCAGGGAAAGAACACCTGTGGCTCTACTTCTGCCCTACACTAGTGCTTCTGTATGAGAGGCAATTTTCCTGTCTCTCTGCAGCTCCGCAGAGTGTGACTGCCTCAGCTGGGAAGCTGCAGCTCTCAGGATTCCAAATGCTCAGCACCTGTGTCTCTCTCAGCACCTTACTTCTTGATTTAGCACATCAGGTTTGAGCCTCAAAGTTACATTAAATAACCCAAATTAAGTTTTCTCATTGGAATTCACGTACCACAAAAAGTCATTGTCAGAAAAAAAAACCAACACTTTTTCTGCTTCTCCTTTCATTGTTTTCAGTCTCTTGAGGAGAGAAAGGAGGGGCTTTTCTAATAATTAAGAAGAAAACAAACCAGTGTGGAAACATGAAAGCAGGACTAAAGACAGACGCTTTCCTCAGAGCCTCTGATCTCTATTCCGGGCCTCATCCTTTCTCCTTTGGCTGAAGCGTTTTGGCCAATAACCCTTCTATGAAGTATGTTACAGAGAAACAAGGTTATCCATCTCACCATTCAGACTCTAGGCTTTCTCATATGGTACGATATCTTCAGTATGAATACGGCCTCCAACATTGTACCCATTGGTTTTATAAGACTATCATAATTTATATATAATACTTTAAAGTATTTTCTTTTCTACTGGGCAATTTTATTACCCTCTCTTCATCCTCACAGAAGGTTTCTGTTGTTCACAGTGGGTGCACGATGCATTTCTGTTTGCACCTCAATCAGCTGTCAAATAAATACCTGAATAAAATTTACCACATGAAAATGAAATGCTGTAAAAAAATAAACCCACAAGTCTGAAGTTCTCAGTGGAAAATTATTTCAAGTTTACCAGACAAATTAAATTTATATATTAAATAAGTAACCTCTTAAGAAATTTAAATAACCCCTCCTGGAAAATAGTTTATTTTTATGTCCTTTATTCCACCAAAACTGCATTGCAGTTTTCCAGTCTTTATATTTACATTATTTGCAACTCTCTCCATAAGTGCCAGTACAAATGTAACTGATGAAAATCCAGAATAGTCATACAAATGTTCCTGAAAGCAAGGTGCATTTCTGAGCAATTTTTTTCTGATGCGCAACAATATATATGTATATATTAACAAAGCTTCATAATATAAAATATCTTCCATGGCAAGTAAAACTTCCCCACTTACAGCTTATTCCGATTTCAGTTACATAGACTTCTGCATTTCAAGTTAGTGCAAATAATGAAAGTAAGAGCCTGAGCAGAATGATGTAAATACAATGGAACAAGAGAAACAGCAAAATTTTACCAACTCCCTGCATAGGGTTATAACATTTAATCAGTATATCATTAGTATTCTTTATATACAATGTATTTAAATAATTGGCTCGTCTGAACTATAGGCAACAAATTTACAAATTAAAATAAAATAATGTTTCAAACAAATATGGAATGTCCGACAAATATATGAAAATAAAATGCATCTAGTAACAAAACGTTGTAAATCAAAAAGGTAAAAGATGTCTTCTCTGTCTTGGAAGATTTCAAGGCACTTTCTTGGCAAATCAGAATTCTCTCCTTAGTAGAAAGTCTGCAAGAGAAAAGGAAATGCCATTTTACAACTAGTTTCAAAACACGGAGGCAGACCACTTAGTGTAATTCTGTTTAAAAATCACAGTTTCCTGGGGATGGCATAAATCTGAACTCCAGAACGCCAGTGGGCCTTGCCCTCCTGTGAGCCCGAATGAGTTTTGCCGCAGCAAATCCTCCGCGTTGACGCCAAGAGGTTTAACGCGTGGTGGTCCACGCTGCTGCATCCCACAGGGAAGTTTCCTACGCCTAGAGTTCTAGATTCTCGGTTTGTCAAGGCCTTGCCTTCCATTCTTCTGAATTAGGAAAAAAAAAAAAAAAAAAAAACCAAACCCAAACCAACAAACCCACCCCAAAACGCTCAGGGCCGTAATGACGACTGCGGCTGGGACGCGCCTGCTCCGCCCCGGCCCCTCTCCGTGGTGCTGAACTGGGACCC